GGCACGGCTGTGGGGGCACACAGTAGGGCATCTAGAAGCTTCTCCGGCCTCCACCCACCAGGTCCCCGTGTGACAGCCCTGACGGTTTCCAGACACCCCCCAGCGTCCCTGGGGACAGCCACCCGTTTGAGAACCACCATCTGGATGAAGATACCGAGGGCCAGAGGCGGCAAGGGCCGGGGCCGGGCATCAGCTGGCAACTGTCTTCCCGGCCATCCCCTGGACCGCTCCACACTTCTGCCAGGAGAAGTGAGAATGGACGCTGGGTTCTGAGATGGGGGCTGCTTGCCCCACCCGAGTCCGCACCTGCTGCTAGAAATAGCTGAGAGGAAGGAACTACAGAGAAGAGCACAAAGTACCAGCATTCTGATTGGGAGGAAAAAATACGCCTCCACCCCCTGTGGTCAGTTACCCCGGGAGGCTTCTGCTTTCTGCCGGCCACATGCTGAGACAGGAAGGCCGGCTCCGTGCACAGAGGGACCCGGGGTCACCCCTTTAATGAGGACGGCCAGCCTGGCGCGGGAGCCCAGGGCCGGGCTGGGCGGGAGGGCCGGCTCCGACAGACGAGAGCTGCCGGCCCTTGGCGGCTGAGAGAGGCTGCGGGTTGAAGACCAGCCCCAGGGAACGGGTTCGGGGTGCTCCCGGGATCCGGGAGGGGCTTCGAATGACGGGAAAGTCAGGGTAGGTAAGAGGAGGGAAACTGTATCTGTGTTACGTTTCCTTAAAAAGCAAGCTCTAGAAAAGCAGTTTTTACAATACCCTGTCTTCATACGAAACACTCACTTCTCCCCAAAAGAAAATAGCAGAGGGGACCCTCCCTGGCGGCACAACAGGTTAGAGCACAGCACTGCAAAGTTAGCGGCAGCCACTTCATGAGTTCTATCCCCCGTCCGGGAGGTGGCCCCAAGGACACGTCCCACCCCTCCTGGCCTGCCCGCTGCTCCCTCAGCAGTGCGCTTCATGGATCTGTCTGTTTTCACCCCACTCTGTCTCTGGTGAGGCCTCTCACTGCCCCTGCACCTCTAGCCTGTACCCCAGCTCTGTATGCACAAATAAATCTTAAAAAAAAGAAAGAAAGAAAACAGCAGAGGGTAAATGATGGGCTCTGGAGCTGGACACACCTGGGTTTGGGTTTTAGCTAACCCAGCGTGACTTTAAGTTCCTTAGGATTTACCCGAGTCGCCAACAGAGGTAAGGGCTCTCAGGGAAGTTCCAGGCGTCATGCTCCTAACGTGTCTGACAGCAGAAGCCAGTGGCTTTTCCTTCCCTTCATTAAATTTCCCCTGTAACGAAGCCTGCCTGTGGGACAGTGTCACACTACCACCACCTGCTGGTCACATGCTGGAATTGTCAGCATAGTGGGGAGAGGGGAGACTCAAACTCAAGGCAAAAACTGATGAGCTGACAAGGGGCACCGAACACAGGGGAGCCGAGCCCTCTGCCCGGGGCGGGAGAGAGAAAGGGAAGAGCAGGCGGACACTCGCCAGAGCTGAAACTGGCGTTTCTAGCGTCTGCCACTAATGTAGCCAGCAGGGAATGGCCATCACAGGAAAACAAGAAGTCAGCGAGAACTCCAGTGCGCCAGAGGCGGGCCTGGCTAGGAACCAGAGTCCAGCTGGCAGCCCCGGCCACGGCCCGGCAGGGCCTGTGTGCAGGCACACGCTCTCGGGCAGGGGAGGGGAGGCGGCTGTGGTTAGACACTGGCCCAGGCCGCGGGCGCGGCGTGTGGGGCCCACCGGGGAGGCCAGCCGTGTGCGAGTCGTCTGAAGCCACGTGACGGGGAAGGGACGGCCAACGGGGCGGGTGGCAGATTCACGGCCGCAGAAGCAATCGGGGAGGGGCGGAGCTGTGAGCACAGCCTGACAGCTGGGGGTGGGGCCGTGACGCAGCAGTCCAGGCCCTTGGCCCAGGCAGGCCCGCCAGGCCACCTGAGACTCTCGGAGCACACAGATGGATGCCTGGGGGCCGGGCGCGCTCTCGGCCAGGCGTGAGCCACGTACCAGCGCTCCTGCCCCGCAGACAACCAGCGGGGGGCTACGGATGACCCCCCGCCCCGGGCGCGGGGTACCCCAGTCACGCTAACTCTTGGCTAACACTTCTAGAGAATGTGACCTAGAGCCGAAGGAGTTCCCCGAGCGAGTGAGCGAGCGCAAGCATCCCACAAGACTCGAGGCAACCCTGAGCCAATCGCCGTGGCAGAGATAATTGTTCTGAATCTATCAATAAAATCAAGCTGCCCCTTCATTGACTGCAAACACCAATTTCTTTCACCGGGATTATAAGTTGTTCCGGGCGCCCGCCGCCGTCACGGTGATAAACAGCCCCGGCCACAAGAGGCTCTGACACGGAGATCAATTCCAGGTCCATAAAGAATCTGCACAAGGGTCCAGGACAGGGATTTACAGCCACCAGTTTTTATTCTCTCTGGCTGCAAAAATTACTTCTGTCAAACACTTAGGAGAGTGAGGAAAAATGTAAAAAAATTAATTTTTCATGTACTCCTGGAGAGGCCTTTTCCACGCAGAAGTGCAAGATGAATATGTGGCTGCACTTAAAAAATTACGCCGAGCAGCATGTGGGGCCGGCCCAAGGGGGACCCCGTCTCTGAGCAGCGCACCAGCAGATGGCAATTTGCAAGCCGGTGCGCACGGGGGCTGCCTGGGTTTCCTGAGGGCAGACGCGGCCTGATGTTCGCAACGCCAAATTACATCAGACACTTAATTTGAAACCTCAGGTACTGAAACGTAAAACCTTACAACAGGCACAGCCGTGACGCAGTGGGCTTTCCGTTTCTCGGAATGGGCTTCCCCTGCCCCCCCGCCCCCCCAAATGTACCCAGAGCCTCCTGTCATGTAGTTTGGCGCAGAGATCACCACAAAGTAATCGAGCTAATTAGGCGCTGCTCGCAGCTGCTTGAAAGACAGAAGCTCCCCGGGGCAGCCGCGCCCAGGGAGGGCTCTGAAAAGTTCTCGGAGCCAAAGTCTTAATTTAGTGTGGCCAAGGCCGCAGCGGAGGCCCACCCCCAAGCTGGAAGCCCACCCCCAAGCTGCGGCGAGTGTGTTTACGGCCGGGGGCCGCAGTCAGCAGCACGGGGCTTGGGGGCTCAGAAGCCCCTGGCTTCGCCCTGCGCCCGCCGCGGGCACCGTGTAAGCTTTTTGACATTCGAACCAGAGGCTTGAGGGAGAAGGCTGAAATGATTAAAAAAAAAAAAAATGAGGGTGAGGTTTGCATGAGCCGCGACTTCAAAAGGAAGGAAGACGGGAGCGCGTGCAGGGAAGCGCCTCGGCCCGCCGTTTCTCTTGGGATTGTTCGCCCAGCTCGGCGGGCGTCGGGGCCTGGCCGAGGTCTCGAAATGCCCCGGTGCACGCGGCTCCTGAGGTAGGCCGTCAGCCCTGGGCCCTGATGCCCATTAAGAATCGCTGCTCACTGGCTGGACCACGCAGGGCGGGTGCCGTGGCCAGAGCACAGCCCGGTCTCCTCCGCCGGGGTCCTGGGGACACGCAGCGCAGACCGACTGGCAGCCTGGACTCTGCATCTGCGGCCGTCTCCCGCGGCCGACAGGCCCTTGGTCCACGGACCACACTTGGAGAAGCAAGACTTCTCGTCTGGCGAGCGACTCCCCAGGCTCTCGCGCCTCTGGCCTCTGCGGCCATCCCCTGCGGCCCCAACCGTGCTGCTGCGGGAGGCGCTGGGGCGGGCACGGACACCCGGCGAGGGCGTGGGCGTGCGCAGGTGGGCACGCCTGAGCCAGCCGGGGCTGCCAGGGCCCCGCCCCCAGCGACAGGCGCGGCCGCGAGGGAGCCAGCGAGAGCCCAGGACCAGAGCAAGGGCCCCGCTGGAGTCCTGGCCGCGCCCGGCTGCCCCTGCAAATGGACGAGGGGCGCAGGGGCGGGGCCTCAGCCCCAAGGGGTCCTCGTGGCCGCACGGTTCTGTGGGGGACCCCCGTGACAGGGCGCGGGGTGGGGGGACCAGAACTGGACACAGCGCCCGACGTGGGGGCCGTGGCTCGGGAGACTCGGTCAAAGCCAGAGCCGTGGCCGGCAGGGCTGGCAGACTGCCCGGCGGGGAGGGGAAGCGTGGGCAAGGCGGGCTCTTTCAGGGACTTCTCTCCTCCTCCATCTCCCCAAACACAAACCCCCGGCAACAAGGAACAGAGCCCCAAACTGTCCTGCGGTGCTGAGTGGGCGGTGGGGTGACCCAAAGATGCTGGCCGAGGGGGGCTCCAGACAGTGGTGGCTAGAGAAGGTGGGCTCTGCCAGCCCGCGGGGCCTCCCCAGCTGCAGACGTGGGGTACACCCACAGGGTGGTGTTGAGGGAAACCGCCGAGTGTGGGCCGGCTGCACCTCCTTTCGGAGACACCGGTAGACACGGGGTACAGAAGCCACGGCCCGGGGAAGGGCGCCGTGTCCCAGAGCCACCCTCGGGATGAGGCCGCCTGGGGGCTGTGCGGGGAGCAGGCCCGCCGAGGCCGGGGGCGGGCGGTGGGGCGCCAGGCGGGGCGTGTCCGGCACGCCCTATGGCGGCTGGGTCATCGCACCCTGCTCTGCCCTCGCTGGGCCTTGAGTCTCCCGGGTGTAGGCAGGCGGCCCCGGGCACCCCCTCCTGGACGTGGGCCTGCCGGCGTGGCGCTGCCCTGTGCACCCAGCCCGGCCCAGCCCCGGTCGCACCGCTCTGGCCGCCGTGAAGCACCCAGCTTCCCCTGACCCTGGGCCTGGACCGTCATTCTCGAAGGGTCTGGAAGGCGGAAGGAGCTCGGAGCCACGAGAACAGGGCGGTGCTTACCCGGCGCGAGCGCCCCGCGCGGCCGCCGCCGGCCAGAGGGAGCCCCGACGCCGCGCCTCCCCGAGCACGAGCCATGGACCGTCATTGCGGCCGGCCGCACGGCGCAGGCGTGGGTGACACCCTTCATCGGCGGCGCCCGCAGCGAGGGCTCCGCTCTGCCACGAAGGGGCGGCGCGCAGCCTGGCTGGTCGCGGGTCCAGGGCGGCGCCCTCGCTTACCACTGCTGACGGCCGAGTTTGCAATGACTGTGGCCTCGCTCCACTGGTCGGCGCTGGAGACGGAGTGCGAGCGCTGCTGCGCGCCGTCCTGCCGGCCACCGAGGGACACCAGGCTGACGCCGCCGGCCGTCGGCGCCCCGGGCGCACTAGTGACATGCCCTAGGAACAAACAAGTCAGGTGAACACCTCGGCGACGCGGCCCCAACCTGCACCCCTCGCGCCTGGGCGGTGGCTCTGCCTAGGCACAGGCGGCGTCCAGAGAAAAGGGGTGACGCGCGTCGTGGGG